TAGTACCTCCATTGCTGCAGTTGGAGTAGTGCGCATGGTCCTAGTGGCACTCAGACAGGGGAGCCACTGAATGCCGGTGAGTAACCTATTGCACTTAGCTGCGCCGTTTTGGTTTTCCACGCCACTGCGTCATAGGTAATCATAGGTCTTATCACCCTTGTGTATTGGAGCTTAGACTCCAGTTTTTCACACATATTCTTTGACAGCTTACGAGAGCTATTGTAGCTTTGTATGTAAGTTTTTTGAGATGTTGATTCCACGTCAGCCTTTGGTCGAATATGACTGAGGTATTTTGCTTCTGTGACAAATTAAATAACCATGTCGTTAAGTACTAGTGGTCTTAGTCCTATAAATACCTATTTTTTGTGAATGGTACAGCTGTTGTTTTTTTTGTGCGTTAATAGACAATTGCTCCTCTTGGCACCAGTTGTTTACTATGTTTAGAGCTATTTGAGATTGCTTCGAGACTGTGCCTGCAAATCGTCCCCTGACGATAATTGTTAGGTCGTCTGCGTTTCCTAGGAACTCGTAGCTTTCTTTGGACAATGTTTTAAGTAAGTCGTCCACTAGAACTGACCACAACATTAGAGATAGTATTCCTTCTTGTAGACAGTCCAGGGGTTATATACCTATATGCCTATATGGTTGCCTTTCTTTGAGTGGATAAAATAATCCTGTTTTCTAGACTGGCAGTTATCCATTGGCATATTGTACCTAGGACGTTTCTCTGTTCTAGAACTTTCGTTATAGACCTGGTTGAGGCATTATTAAAAGCTTCTTCGATATCCAAGGAAGTGGCAATTTTAATTTCTTTGTCATCTATTGACGTTGAAAGCAGTCTGTTTAGATCGTCTAGCGCTAGGTTAGTTGATTTTTCTGGCTAGTATGCATATTGGTTGGGATGGAGCGAATGTATTTTTAATATCTCGTCCCTGATATACCTCTTTATCAATAATTCTAGAGTTTTTAGTAAGAAGGATGATAGACTTGGGGCGATATTACTTAGGCGATATTACTTAGGCGTTTGGTCTGTAACCCTGCATACTTTGGCGAGGTAGATTACTTTCGCATTTTGCCATATTGCTAGAATATATCTCCAGGCAATGCATAATTTAAAGGTTTTTGCATATATGTGGCATTATCATATCCCTACCCTTCTGAAGCAGAATTGGATATATTCCATCCGGCCCCGAGGATTTGTATGCCTTGAATTTTTTGATAGCCCAACTAATCATGTGTGGTCTTGTGATCTCGGAGGCCAGCTTCCAGTCCATTGGAGTTGGTCTGATCCCCTTTTAACTATAGCTTTATTGGTCTTCTGAATTTAGACCTGTTAGGATAGTTGAGGCCGGAAATTGCACCTAAGTCAGTATTTCTAGACTTTCCTTTAGTGTCGTTGTGTAGTTATCATCCACTTCTTTAAATAATCCCACTTGACAAGATGTATGTCTTTAGCTATAACTCTATGAATTCTAGCGTTTACGGTGGTCTCTGAGACCTTTTCGCAGAATTTCCTCCACGAGTTTCTTTTAGCCTTGCGCACCTCTTTGTTATACTCTGTAAGCTTATTTTTATAAGTAGTCTAGTCTTGTTTGGGTTTGGCTCTATTGAATAGCCTTCGCACCCCACCTCTTAGGCTATCTAGGTGTTTATTCCACCAGACTGTCTTCCTCGTTTGTCCTCTCTTTTTCGGGACAGTTTCCTAAATAGGCATCAGTAATTGCCTTGTTTATTAATGCCACTGTCCTTTCGAGTATTTTTGTTTCTCGTACATTGGTGGCTTTCTCCTTGAGAGACTTCTCGAGGGATTTTAGGTACCTTTCGCAATTCGCCTCTCTCGGGCATCTAAACCTGTCTGTTGTACGTGTTGGACATCGTATATGGAATCGGACATGTCTGTGATCTGAACCCGATGGTTCATCGGACACATGTTAATTCTTGATTTTGTAATTTGTGCCTCTCGAACATATAATCATATCTAGAACTTCTTTTCGGTAAGCAGTAAGAAGAGTTAGCAATTTCTAACCCTTCACCTAAAATAAGTAGTAATAATGACTCACCTCTTGGTTTGATGGCGTTTCCTCAAATAGTGTGGTGTGCATTCGCATCGCATCCTATCATAAGCTTGAGTTTCTGCTCCTCGTAATGAACAATGATTCTGCCTAGTATTGCTGGGGGTCAGATTCTCTGCTCTCCCAGGAAGTAGGCGGAGCATACAATATAGCTCTTCTCTCCCTCTTCGGTTTGGATCGATAGGATAGCTGTAACAAAATCGCCGATGCTACTAAGCACCAGTATTAGTGTACAATTAACCCTGTGGCTGTAGATTATGCAAACACGGCGTTTTTTATTCTATTTGCTGTAAAATAGCTTACCTTGTTGCGGTTTTCGACTTTTCCACAAACAAGTTTCCTGCAGGAGGGCTATATCCAAGCCTTTAATTTCGAACGTCCTGGCAGACGCTGCCTTAGCATGGTGGCCGTTCGCCTGCAGGACCTTTATGCCCCGCGGTGGCTCGTTACAGGCGCCGTGCGATCTGCCCTTTGACCTTCCTCTTCCTCCATTGGAAAAGCCGTATCGGAGCTTTTAGGCCTTTTAAAAGGGCTTTTGCCACTTTTGTTAGAGGGATCTTCTGCCTCCTTTGCTCTGCTCTTGATGACGTTCGTCCTTTGGGAGGCCGGCTTTGTGGAATCTGATGATTTAAGGTCCATTTTGGCCTTGACAGTTTGCTTCACTGGCATTTTTGTGTATCTTTTGGAGCCTTGCTGAACAGATTTATCCTTTTTCTCCTTGATATCCTTTTCCAGTTTTTAAGAATGGAATTTTATGCGTCCCATCCCAAGGTACGGAGACATTTTTAACTTCTCGAGTTTGGTATATGATCCCTCGTATACGGATATGGCCCAAGTTTGGCCTTTCTCCATTAGAGTTGGGGGTCAGAACCTCTTAGAGGTCAGTTTTAAAGGTGTTATTGCTTACCCTTAGTCTGATGAGGTGTCTAGCCCCTTTCCATCCTCGTCTGCTAAGTACGTTGTGCAAATTTTTGGTTTAGAGATATCGGTGTTCTCCCGAGCCTAGAGGGTTGCACCCTCCCAGGGCTTTAATTTGGGAACCACCTCTTTTAGCCATTGTGCGCTTTGGCTATCTGCACATCGTACTACGATATACCCTGGCCTGCGTGTGCATTTAGTGAAACGCACCTATGGCCCTCCTATTGTTATACCTTCGTATGCACTTATAATGGGCTCCTCAACAGTTTTTTACTGTTCGGTTTTCATTAGTGCCTCCGGGAAGCCGGTTCTAACCACTGTGACCTTTGCAGTGATAAGGGCCTCTTTGAAGCTTATCCCTTTAGTTTTGGCATTCTTATCCACTCTTAGATCTACAGAAGGCGTGTTGACCTCTGATCTTTGCCTTTTTTGTGGTCTTTTCATCGACCTGTTTGGCATCAATAGCCGAAGTTGTCGGTGGCTTTAATTAAGATCTGACGAAGTTTTCTTTAATTATGTCTCTTTTGGCAGTTATAAAGTCTTGGCCAGATTTTACCAAGTTGTTTAGCCTTGTTCTTGTTTGTTCCGAGATGACAAAGAATCTGTCTTCTATGTCTGTCATTAGGTCAGTCTCCTCTTTGGAGGTAACCCTTCTGGATTTGTTGGGCCTTGTGGATGTTATTGGCACTTCTGCCTGAATAACCTCCAAGACCTGTGTTGCTATCCCTGGCACTTTTGCCTGAGATTGCTCTTGTCCAACTACTGCTAGTGGCACATTTGCCTGTTCAGCAGTAGAAGTTTGTGAAAGAGTTTTTTCTTCTTATATAATTAGGGCCATATTTGTTCCCACGAGTAGCTGGTGAAAGGTACGCCAACCAATCTAGAACTCCGTCTTAGATGGGCAAGCCCACTTACTCAGGAAGGCAGCCGGTATCTTGAGGTACCGTTTAAAACAACTGTTTCGAAGCAGGCACAGCTGCTACACATCAATCGGCATGGTTTACTGACACCTTAGATTAGGCCTCGCGTCGAATTGTGGAATTACGTCAAATTTATTTGAGGGAAATTTTTAAATTTAGAAATAGCAGTGGAAATATTGTTTATTTAGATGAAACATAGTTCGACACTCATGATGTCGTTCAACGTGGTTGGGCAGACGGTTCACAAAATTGTGTTTTAAAGGCACCATGCTCGAGGGGGAAACGAGTAATAATTTTACATGCCATAAATAAAAATGGCTTTGTATCAAACGCTTTGCTACTTTTAGGGAAAAAATATCAATAAAGATCTGCTGGATTATCGAGAAGATATGAATGCAGCAGTTTCTTACAAATTGTTAAAAGTAAGAATATTCCAATACAAGACTATACATAGAAATATTCTCTTCATTTTACCACACTGCTTGTCCAACAGTCGAACAAACCACACATACACATTTTTTTCCAGGAAAAGTCGGCATATAATTATAAATATTTTTCGCCAGTTAAAAAGATGTAATTAATTTTATTTGGCTAATGTATAAATATACCTGTACATAATGTGTTTGTAAAGTTTGTGATAATAAAAATCCCTAGATGAAATACCAACACTGAAATGAAGTATGCAGGGCGACGTCATTAATAAAGTTCAAACAAATTATAGCCCATTAAGTCGAAATAGACTATACCATTCTAATAAAACAGCCATTCAGTCTTATAAAAAGTGATTCACAAAAAATGTTTTTTATTAGGTAGGCAGAAAATATTACGTATGGCGAAAATAGAATTTTTTTTTCTTTTAAAGTCTCAGTTTGAATTTAATTCAGAGCCGCGCGTAATTATTATGGACATTCGTCGGTGATGGTCTACTTTATAAACATTTTTTTATGTGAATTAATCCTTATGTACGCTCCTGACTCTTGAATTTGTATAGACTAGATCGAGTTTGAACATCTATATGCTGTTTTTTTAGATTTACGGATACAAAATGAATTTATTCTAATTATGAGTAATTTCTTTTTTTTTATTATAGCAAACAGTTTGAGAGGCAACAACGTCAGTGAAGGCGATGTTAAGATATTTTTCACATCTCAGTCTCATCAAAGTAAACTGATACAAGTAGACCTTTATGACCCAAAAGAAGTAAATGACAATGGATTTTCAAACGAAAAGGTATTTATTCATAATAATGTACGAAGAGACAATTTAAAAATTTACAATGACTATATCTCACAAACTACAGATGGTAACAGATAATCCTTGACTGTTACTTGAAAGCTAGTAACAAATCATTTTTAATAGAACATGATGGACAATGCATGTTAATCCGAATTAAATATTTTTATATATTTCTAATCTAGGAGCATAAAATAACTTTTTTATTTGGTTTTACTTTTCTTTAGGTGATAAAATAAGATACATATCTGTAGTATTTATCAGTTTAGATTAATTATTTGCATTTGTGTGCTGTGCTAAATCCCCATTTGTTATTTACGTAATGTCCTGTTAAGAGAAACCACTAGTCATACCTCAATTTTAAACTTAAAATAGGCTTAGTTTCCTCACGAGTTTAAGTTTTCACCCTTGGTTTAAAAATAATTAACTATACCTATCATAACAACCCAATATGATACATTGAAATTATCCCAAAATTGTCGCAAACATAGTAATTTCTTTTTTGTGCCAATTCTGGTTTATCTTGTTTAAATATTTCATCATTTTCGGCCATTTTTTGGATCTAATTGGCCATTTTTTCTTATTATTTTTAAAATTCACTATCAAAAATAATTAACTGAACTAATGTTATAAAATGTAAATTTAGTGAGAGTATTTTATTATACATAGCAGCATTTTTAAAAACAATTACAATTTGTATAATATTGGATAAGGTCGACGATTTTGCCGGTAGGTTAATTGATTATTGTGGCATAAGTTATATAAAGATATTTTGCCATATCACATAAATAATAGTGACGTTGTACAGATATCATATTTCATGTAGATAATTCTTGTTAACATTAGATTCATTCTTGCTTTAACCTCTGTCGAGTAAACCTCTATTCCGTTGTACAATAAAAATAAAGTTTTGTTTTTAAAAATTAGTTTTAATACTAAAATAACTTAACTGGCGCAGTCAGTAGGATAGTTCGCAGTTCGATTTTGTGAAGCCACGGCATCGAGACCGATTCCAATTGAACGTGAGTTTTAACTTTTTGGCAACCAAACCTACCCGGAAACCGCTGGCCCCCTTCAGAAGTTGGTAGCAGAATCACCGCAGGGATAACTACTGGTAAGTACCGAGTTTTCCTATTGCATTATCCTTAGTTTAGTTAAGATAGGTAAATTTTCCTGGTTAGAAGATTTATTCTACTATAGGTTAAGTAAATGAATTTTGAAATAGAAGAATTGATTGCTAATTTTAATAATCTAGTACGAATTAACGAAACTTGCGAAGAAAACAATTTAATAAATAACAAAATGGCTCAAAATCAAAATAATAAAATAAATATGCAAATGCTTAAGTTAACCGTAGATCTAATTCAGACTTACGATGGTAATCCATCTGAACTAATGCAGTTTATTGGAGATTGTCAATTTTTAGTAGATTCATATGATAATATTCGCGATGTAGTTTTACATAATTATATTTTTAGAGTGATTCGTTCAAAGTTAGTAGGTAGTGCACGTCAATTAGTTAGTAGGAGAACAGAATTAAATAATTGGAATTTATTAAAGAACACTCTAGAACAAAGTTTTGGAGACAAGAGATCTTTAGAATGCCTAGAGCAGGATCTGTTAATGGCTAAACCATTAAAACATGAACCTATTCTAGAATTCGCAAAAAGACTACAGGTTTTAAGAAGCCAATTGATTGAAAGAGTAAATAGTTTTTCGGAACAAGAAATGAATGCTAATACTAAAGAAATTTATCATAGACAATATGACCAAATGTCACTTAGAACTTTAATTAGAAATTTGACAGGACTTTTACAACATACTATTAGAATTAAAAACCCCGATACTATAGAAACCGCTATTGCTCATATTGTTGAGGAAGAAAATTTTTATTATGCTCAAAATAATATTAAAACTCAAAACAATTCTACACAAAACCTAACATACCAAAAACAATTTAATAATCATAATGCAAAAAATCAACATAACGTCAAAACTTATGCAACGCCTAATAATAATTATCAAAACAGACAAGTATTTGGACCACCTAAAAACGCATTTGCACCCACAGGAAGAATTCCTCAAAATGACCCTGAACCTATGTCAACAACTTCAAGAAATACTTTTAGAAACAATCAATCACGTAACAATTATTTTAAAACAAACGGTGCCAGAAATGTTAATTCTCAAGAATTATACCAAATTGAAACTAAAGTTAATACAGAAAATAATGTTCAAACTCCAAATAAATCAAATCTATATACTGACAATAATAACCAAGAAAGTTACGACTTGAATGACGTTGTTAAAGCTGTTAAAGCTAAACACGTAATAAATGAAATATTTTTAGACATTGAAATACATGAACTTGATACACCCCTATTACCCCTTGAATTAGGAAAGACGAAAGTAATAGAAACTAAACATACATTCTTACATTTCATAGAGACAAAATCCTTGATTGCACAATTACTAAATATTAATTATTTCTATTATAGATTAGAAACGTTACTTAATACTACTAGTTTAGGATATAATGAACCTATTATTAGGGATATATTCGTACATGCTAAATACTTACTTAAAACTACTACTACTAAGTTAAATAATTTAACTCCTAAAAATAGAAACAAACGTGGATTATTTGACGGTCTAGGTACAGCAAGCAAATGGCTTTTTGGAACCCTAGATCACAATGACGAAATTAAATACAATTATCAAATAGAAACACTTACAAAAAATCAAACCTCATTAACTCATCAATTGCAACTTCAAACCTCTTTAAATCAAGATCTTATCGATCATTATAATAAAACAGTAACCATTTTACATGAAAATCAGAATTTAATTAGAAACAAACTAAGAGAATTGTCTACAAAACTAAATAACTACACTGAAGATATTTATAACTACATAACTTTCACAAATGCATTAAATCAAATAATATTAAACTGTCAAAATTTAATAAATTTCCTAGATAATTTAGAAAACGCAATTATGTTTGCTCATTCAGGAACCTTGCATACATCAATCGTTTCAGTTTATGAATTGTTAAAATTAGTAAATCACTTAGCATCTCTCTATGGAGAAAATAAAATTCTTCGATTTGAAAATCCATTTTACTATTATCAATTAACAGGCATTCAAGTAATAATAAAAAACTCAAATATAATTTTTGCCATACATTTACCTATTTTAATAAATGATAACTACCAAACATTTCACCTAATTGGCCTACCTTACCAAAAGTCCATAATAATTCCTGACAAAACCTACCTAATACTCGGTACAACAAGTCACCAATACGAAGAAACTCCCTGTCCAAAATTAAACGACATCTATCTATGCCAAAACCATGAAGAAATAACGGATTAAAATTGTATCATTCCTCTTATCAAAGCCGAAGAACCAAGATGCCATACTAGTCCCGCAATCCTAACTCACAATATACTTGAAGAAATTAATGACCAATTTATTCTCGGTTTGCCTGCCAATACACCGATCAAAATAGAATCAAATTGCGAAAAAAAGAGAATCCTGATAATAAAACATAACACCTTACTAAAAATACCCAAAGGCTGTGAAATTCGTACAGAAAATTCTACCTTTCGAAGCAGTGAAGAAATATTCAATGCAAATCCACTTATACTGCCCAAATTCGAGTGGAATCTTAGAAAAAACTCCGAAAATACAGAAGAACCCATACAGCTGCATGCAATTGGCCTCCAATCTATTAAAGAAATGCAACTCCAATCCAGATTAACCTCGCCGAGTATTCAGCAAGTCCATCCAGCCGTTTGGAATTTACTCAATTTGGTAATTTTAATCCTAATTGTACTTCCCGTTGGTATAGCATGGTACTACATAAGAAAAACAAAAAAACAACCCACACAACAACCCGAAGAAGAAAAACCGAAAAACAACCCCAAATCCGTGTTGTTTTCTCTTAAGAAGGGAGGAGTTATATAAAGACATTTTGCCATATCACATAAATAATAGTGACGTTGTACAGATATCATATTTCATGTAGATAATTCTTGTTAACATTAGATTCATTCTTGCTTTAACCTCTGTCGAGTAAACCACTATTCCGTTGTACAATAAAAATAAAGTTTTGTGTTTAAAAATAAGTTTTAATACTAAAATAACTTAACTCATGCAAAAACTAAAATAATTGCTTTTGATAACGGGTTTATTTTAACTTATTAAACTTTTTATTCAATAACCATATAACAATTGGGTAATAATAAGTTTACTAGAAACTTAATACAGATCACCTTTTATATGATTTGTTGTAATGGTAAAATGGCGATTTTTTCGCGTGCAGATTGATTTTGTTCTATCTTGCTTGGAGGTTAGAATAGTTCTCAACGTGAAAAAGTCTTGCCGAGTTGAATCTAAGAGTCTGTCTTGTGATTTGTTTAAAGAAATGATGTAGGTTTTCCAAGTTCTACGTGGAGAGAGATAAAGTGATGTGTTATAAACTGTTGAGCAAGCCTTTACATTTATTTAACAATTTATTTTAAACAGGCTTATGTGGATAAGAGTAAAATGGGTCTGTGAGTGGGAACAAGTAAAAACTAATATTTATTTAAACGGGCGTGTTTCACAAAGGGAGAAAGCTCTATTTCGCCTATGTTTTTAACTGCTTGCACATTGCTTTTTACAAAGCGGAATTTACCAGGGTTGGCATTGATTTTAGTTATATAGCTTGCTTGGCCCTTCTCGAACCTTCGCGAACTGTCATCTAGAATATTCTTGACGGGTAATGACATTTCAATACATTTCTAGACTATTCTATCTTCTTTTACTTGTACTTTTACTTGTACTTTTACTTATGACGACCACAGCACACTGTAGGGCGATGAGTAACATTCCACTTATTTTTCTATCTGTACGTTTCCTATAATAGCCGCAGGATACTGCAGGGTGCTGCGTAATAATATATTGTTGTTTTTTATTAAATAAATCCAACTATCTACGACTCAAGTCGCCATTTTCATTAAACTTTTTCGTCACTTGAAGTGCGTCCATCTGTCATCTCGCAAAATAGTGTCTCACTGGTCTATATTATAGGGTATTTGTATTTTATGAAAAGTGTGGGTAAAATTAGATATTAAAATATTTTATAAAAATCCAGACAATTTTTAGCTAAAAATATGAACGAATAATTTTATTTCTTACAATGCCTGCTTATTACGTTTATTTTTTGTGGCCTTTGGGTATGGTATTGCTGTATCCGTTGTGAGTTTTCATCAGATAATTATTTAGTGGTTTGATGATTTAAATCTACATTAAACAAAACTTTAAATGTTTAAAAAATAAAATCCGTTCAAAGAAATCGTGACGTATATTATTTTGGTTTATTATATATTTATTTTCTGACAGTCAACTTCAGAAAATTGACGGATAAATCATAATTGTATGGATGTAATTTGACCTTTTTAAAATTTTAGATATTTAATTCTTTTTAATATTGCTCTACCACATTACTTCTACTTTTATCTATATTATAATAATACATTTTCTAGGATACTATCTTCATTGTGCATGGTTTCAGTGACAAATACAACTCTCCGGTTTGCATAGAAATATCAGAAGCCGTTAAAAAAGCCAAAGATGCCAACGTTTTTATTGTTGATTGGAACAAAATCTCTAGTAAGGAGTACCCCATCGCACAAGCTTCAGTGCCCGATATTGCAAAAATTCTCAGCCGACGTATTAACAATTTGGTAAAGCACAATGCATTGGATTTGAATAAAACGTTCATTGCTGGACACTCTCTTGGTGCCCATATTGCTGGATTCTGCGGAGCTGATCTTAAAGGGAAACTAAATCATATAGTAGGTGAGTTCCTTGGATTTTTTATTTCTCAAAGCTAATTTGTCACTGTTTGTTTACGTTTTATCAAGTAAAATAATATTTTGAAATATCTTATCCATTTTAGGTTTGGATCCCGCCCTTCCTCTTTTTGAGCAGGCTGACAAGGACAATCGTCTAGATTCCTCTGACGCAAAATTTGTTCAGGTTATCCACACAAATGCAGGACAGTTAGGCTTCGCCATAGAACTAGGACATGCTGATTATTGGCCCAATGGTGGTGGCATTGACCAACCGGGGTGTGTGGATGATTCAGGTAAAAATTATTAATCGGTTTATAAGAAGATACAATTCAATGATTGCATAATTTTATTTTTCTACGATCACTATTCAAAGTAGGCTTTTGCGCTTCAAAATCCATGTGCAAAGTTGACGTTTTCTGCGAACTGACATTAAGTGACAGCTTTGTTGCTCGCCTAATATAAATTTGCTATAATATAATTTCTTTTTAGTAAATGATTTTCAAGTTATTTGTACGTAGTTATATGTTTTTTTTTTTGTTAATAATAACTTTTTTCATGAAGAACGTAGGTATAGGCAACACATTATACACTACATACGACAAATTTTCATTTTTTATATCTATTTCTTAAAAATGTGTGATCGTTGAAAAAATCTTGTGGGCATTTTGAGCAATAAGTTCGTTGCCGCTTTGTAAAAAGCGGCAAACTATCACTTTTCGCTCTCAATAGACAAATAGCTAGTTTCTCAGTTATTTAGATGGAGTTTTACATTTATGTATGATAGTGGTAAAGGTTCATAATTTTACCAATTTGTTACTTTATTACAATTGTTTGCAATTTAAAATATACTAATGTTCACAGGTTTTTGAGAGTAATACACCTAAACTTTTGTATTTTGGTCAGTATAATTTATTTCTAAAAACAAAGTCCTTATGAAAAGAGCCATGACATTTACTACTTGACATTTTTCTACTAAACCTAGTTTATTATTACCTTGAAATGATAGTGCAACACAAAATGAAACAAATAAATAATTTAACATCAAAATCTTTATTAAATATTACATAAATTGTTAAAAATGTCTATTTAAGTTTAAACACAAACCGACTCTTATCCCCCATGCAGCAAAAACATTATGCAACATTTTCAATGAGTTGTTGATCTCTTTGCACTTTAGTGTTATGCGATTTCTCGGTTCTCTCAGATCATGAATTGGCGTAAAAAATGGCCTCTTTGTTATTTGCCATGAGATGTCATTACGTGTCTATTGTTTTATTTGTTAATGAATAATGAATTAGATTTGCACAGGTATATGATGAGGATTATAATGCTGAACATATTATATGTGCTTGTTAGATTTTATTAATTATTAAGTAAAATAATTATTTAATTACCAAGTGATTACCGATAGAAGACAATACGTGAGAATCAGCCAACAGCAACAGCTGATCACACTAGATCAGTGGTCGCCAACCTCTCAATGTGTTGAGCTACTTTGTTAATTTTGGAATAAACAGCGAGCTACCCACACGGAAGCCAATAATAACAACAAAAAAGTAACGTACTATCATAAACATAAACATTGAAAAATAAAAAAGCACGTTCAATGAGAAGGCTGACACTCAGACTCATCGATAATTTTTTTAATGTTTGCAGTATAATTTGATACAGCCATTCGAATACAATTATCCAAATGTTCATCTGTAAGTCGATTACGATATTTGTTCTTAATAAACTTCATATTGGAAAAAGAAGATTCACACAAATAGATTGAACTGAATAATGCTTTCACTTTCAAGGCAACACGGCATAGAACTGAATATTTGTCTTAACTTACAATAGGCCAGATACATTTGGTACTTGAGACTAACGATTTTAAGGCTAAATCATTTTGAAACTCAATTACTTCCATTTCTGTTGCAGCGATGTCTTCGCCAAAGTTCTGCATAACACAAGTTGCAAACTGTTGGATATCAATTTCCATAAAGAGTGAAACAACAAACTGCGCTACTAAAGCCATTTCGTTGAAATCCTTAAAACGATTTTTGAAGTTATTCTTCAGGGTAGAAACTATTTCTACATGATATTTGCTGTCATAGGGTTCTAATGGATTTTGAGATATTTTTTCTGAAAGAATAGGAAAATGCTTGGCATCGCTGTTAATTAGGATTTATTTCCAAAACTCCAGCTTTTTGATATATGCTTTTATATCAGAAATCATTTCCGCTAGTTCTTTGTCTCTCCCCTGAAGCTGCAAATTAAGTTCGTTTAATTTCTCTGTAATGTCCACGAGAAAACCAAAATCTCTAGGCCAGATTGAATTTTCTAGTTCCAGAGTCGGTTTATCGCATTGTTTGAAAAATTGAACTATGCCAGATAGGACATCATTAAAACGTTTCAGCACCCGTCCTCTACTTAACCATCGGACTTCAGAGTGAAGAAGTAGGTATTGACAGTCAACTTCATCGGCCAAGGTTTTGAATAATCTTCTTTGTACCGCTTAAACTCTAATCTTGTTCACAATTTCTACCACCAGTTTCATAACGTTGTTTAGTTTCAGGAAATTTCCACATATTGCTTGCTGATGGATAATGCAGTGGTAACAGAGAAATTGCGGAAAAGTTTAATCTTTACGACATAACGCCACCAGACCCTAATCACAACTCACCATACCTGGAGCGCCATCGGTTTTCAAGACTACCATTTTCGATATTGGAATTTTCTCGGAAGAAATAATATTTTTTAAATGAGACAACAACTACTGTCCAGTAGTGTGTCCTTTCAGTGGAATAAATATTTTTTAATCGTAAAACCATCCTGGGCAGCGTCAACGACATCTGTTGATTCATCCAGTTGAAGTGAAAAATAAACACAGTTATCTAAGTCAGTTCTTAACTGTAAAAAAATATCATTGCGCATTACTTCTACACGTCTCATCACTGTATTAGCAGAAAGTTGCATAGATTTTATAGCTAAAACTATCTTGTCTTTATTTCTAAAGTTGGCAAATAACGAATCAGCAGCTTCTAAAAACGCCTGTTTTATCATTTCCCCGTCTTCATAAGGTTTCTTTTTTGTGCAATTATCTGGGACACACGGTAGGATGCTTCAGTTGCAGCCTTATTTTTGTCGACTGTTCTTAAAAATATTGATTGTTGTCCAATTAACTGCTTTTTTAACTATTTCAGTTTCTCCTTTCTGGCGGCAGAATGTAGTGGGAATGATTTTTCAAAATTAGAATGTACAGTTTTATGATGCCTCTCAATATTTCCTTTTTTAGCAACGGAGACCGAAGTATTACATAACAAACACACATTTTTTTCTTTAACTTCTGTAAAAAAATATTGTTCTTCCCATTCCGAATGAAAGTGGTATGTCTTTACCTTCTTGCAACTGCTTGCCATAATATTATTTTTTGTTGTTCTCTACTAACCCAACCGCTGGACGTTGATTACGCGTTCAGTTTTAAACTAAGCGCAATGTCGCCGCGCCGTGCGTATTTATCCCGTTCAAAGCAATCCTGATCGTTCTCGAACACTAACGCGCTGGTCCGGCTGGTCGGTTCTAGCCGATTCTATCTTGATGGCGTCAGCGGCAGATCGCTCACCGCAACGTTGCCGCTGTTTATGTTTAATATTATGACAATTAGATTTTTTTGTGGAATTTTCGGAAGCTTCTCTGATTTTTGCAGTTTGTATTTTTTAAATTAAAATCGTTGTGAGAGCTATCAGAATTGCCTCCGCGAGCTACCGGTAGCTCGCTATCGATAGGTTGGCGACCACTGCACTAGACAGTCAAGGCGACACAAATCGTTCTGACTGGAAAAGCGCCGGCGGTACTCTACTACAGCAACAATTCCACACACTGCCCGCTCTTGACTGCCGATGTTCTCTGCATACTATTGCTAGTAATCACACAAAAATTTATTTGCCCGCTAACATGCGAATGTTAATTGAAGTTGAGCTTTATTAAAAATTATTTCAAAATAAGCCATTTAATCTACAGCATTTTAAACAGTAAACAATAGATCTGATCGTGCAAGCGCTTCATTCCCATTTCAATTTCATGTGTTCAGGTTCTCGAAAATTTCAAATAGTCTGAGATATTTGGCTTCTACGCACACTTTGCAGCGCAGTTTCCAAACCGTTTTTATTTTATGAATCATAAACCTACTAATGTTTAAACTAGAATTTTTATTTTGTTCTTCAGGTTGGTGCGCTCACAATAGATCTTACAGTTACTTTGCGGAATCAATAGTAACGGGTGGATTTCTCGCCCGCAAATGCGATAACTACAAGGATTTTGAGGCTGGAAAATGTGATTCTGCCGCTACTTCGTTTATGGGCCAATTTTACCTTGATCAAAAGTAAGTAGTTTTTTATTTTTTATAAAGAAGAGCCTACAGTATCCCTCTATGAATGTGTTATAAGAAACGAGGTAAGGTCGATCTTCACATATCTTCTTATTGTATGAAAGTTAATTTTTAAAATAAATATCTTTATAAACATACCGCAAATGGGTTGCCTTAGTAAATATTATCAAAACTATTTATTTTTTTAAAATAAAAAAAAGACACCCGTCTAAAGTATAATATTCCCCAGATGATTTATCTCTGACCAAAATTTAATCAGATCATTGCAGAATAAAGTCTGAGTTTAAAATTTGGTATTTTTCTCCTAATCCGTTTCTGAGTTATCTTCATAATTCAAAAAATTCACTTTTCCTCAAATATCTCGAATTTTGAGGAAATCATGACTAGGGTCAAAATTATAAAGACTGACATTAGAGGCAACTTTTATCTTAATTCGTATACTTTCCTAATCTGTATACAGAAAGGAAAATTAAAATGTGCCACAGTATTTCTTTAGGCAACTCATTTGCGGTATATTTAACATATTTTATAGCTTTTATCCGGTAAGAAGAGGTACCTTAGAACTAAGCACAATGGGCCTAGTAAGGCCTAAATGTTCCAAGGGTAACCCACCCTCCACAAGTTACACATACATATATCTACCTATCTAAAAACTCTGATTATTTTATGTTAGATCAGTTACGGTCTAACATAAGAGTTACATTAAATAATGATATATCAATTGAAATTTGTAGACTTTGTAATTATTTTATAAAATACTATGTACATAAAATCTTCCACACATTTTTTATTCCATTTGATATCAAATGGAATTACAGAAAATCAGTTATTATAAATTTTTATTCGTCTTATAACAATTAATAAATAAAATTTAAATTTCCTAAAGAATAAGGTAAATATATGTTTGGGTTGCATTCTCAATAGTCCGGTTCTGGCGAATTGGCTATATTGAGTCGACATGAACCACGCCCAGTGATACCGTTTTGAATGTTTAAAAACTGGCCCCGGACAATTTTTCGAATACATTTGATAATATTTGATCGAATTTCAGAAATATCGAAAAGACAAAAAATCGAAAAGCAGGAGTTTGAAATATCAATTGATCGAAAAGAAAGAGATCGAAATAACTAATAATCGAAAAATCAAATGATTGAAAACATTGAAAACAAATTATTTAAAAGCATTTTATAAATGTACAAAATTGTCAAACAAATTGATCTAAAAATATTTATTTGCAACAAAACGCACGTAGTTACCTAATTATAAATCAAAACTTTATATATTATGGAATATGATAAATATTATAAATATAAACATACAACCATTTAAATTAAATGACCGTGTCACTAAATACTGTTAAACGAAATACCGCGTTTCCAAATAGCGCTATTGTTTTTACATAAATTAATTAAAAACAACCTAACTAATTTACCTATCCAATGCGGCCTGTAGCCATCGCTGGTTACTTAGGTAAAAATTATACATAAAATGAGAAAAATAAAAACCTAACTAATTTACCTAACAGACCCATAATTATGTATTATTAAACGTGGCATGAATAATAAGGTAATATAGGGGGTTACCACAGAGTGAAATGTCAAAAATTTGTCAAATAAATCTATTTACAATTAATTATCTGAGTGCACTATTAGAAGATGCATCTAAATTTATTTCGAATTAATAATTTTTAATAATTTGATCATTTGTTATTCGATTATTTGTTATTCGAGCATTTGTTTTTTCGATCAAATAATATTCAATATTTTGAATTTTCTATCATATGTTATTCGACCATTTGGTTTCGATCAGATACTTTTCAAACAATTGCCAGGGACACTTTAAAAAGGATGTTTATAGCGTCTATCTAGCTTCTAACTCTATGTTTCACTCACATTGGCAATTAGCTCTGTGTAGCATCGAGTAATGCGTGGGAACGTTGTATATATTTTTATTATTATTTATCTTTTACTATTATAACTGTATTCTTTTACATATAATTACCTTTCCCATTATTCGACAATTTCGTATTACTTATTAGCGAAAAACCTGCGGGACTTTAAATCTAATAATTTCCCAAACACTTTTTGCTGTCTCTCTTATTCTCGTCTTACAACTGTTGGGTTGCTTACGACGATTACCACATGTCATCGTTACTTCAGACAACTGTCATTGATTCTATATAGTAAGGAGCTAGTAAAACTTTTTTGGTACACATTTGCACAAGGCTAAATAATTATAAATTTATCTTAGATTTATACTATATAGAAGATGGAATTACTTTAATACAATCGATCTAGCGCTGAAATACCCTGTCAGCATGCTAGGAAGTACTGTGAGGAAGGTGAAGAAGGTGAAGAAGGTGAAGAAGGTGAAGAAGGTGAAGAAGGTGAAGAAGGTGAAGAAGGTGAAGAAGGTGAAGAAGGTGAAGAAGGTGAAGAAGGTGAAGAAGGTGAAGAAGGTGAAGAAGGTGAAGAAGGTGAAGAAGGTGAAGAAGGTGAAGAAGGTGAAGAAGGTGAAGAAGGTGAAGAAGGTGAAGAAGGTGAAGAAGGTGAAGAAGGTGAAGAAGGTGAAGAAGGTGAAGAAGGTGAAGAAGGTGAAGAAGGTGAAGAAGGTGAAGAAGGTGAAGAAGGTGAAGAAGGTGAAGAAGGTGAAGAAGGTGAAGAAGGTGAAGAAGGTGAAGAAGGTGAAGAAGGTGAAGAAGGTGAAGAAGGTGAAGAAGGTGAAGAAGGTGAAGAAGGTGAAGAAGGTGAAGAAGGTGAAGAAGGTGAAGAAGGTGAAGAAGGTGAAGAAGGTGAAGAAGGTGAAGAAGGTGAAGAAGGTGAAGAAGGTGAAGAAGGTGAAGAAGGTGAAGAAGGTGAAGAAGGTGAAGAAGGTGAAGAAGGTGAAGAAGGTGAAGAAGGTGAAGAAGGTGAAGAAGGTGAAGAAGGTGAAGAAGGTGAAGAAGGTGAAGAAGGTGAAGAAGGTGAAGAAGGTGAAGAAGGTGAAGAAGGTGAAGAAGGTGAAGAAGGTGAAGAAGGTGAAGAAGGTGAAGAAGGTGAAGAAGGTGAAGAAGGTGAAGAAGGTGAAGAAGGTGAAGAAGGTGAAGAAGGTGAAGAAGGTGAAGAAGGTGAAGAAGGTGAAGAAGGTGAAGAAGGTGAAGAAGGTGAAGAAGGTGAAGAAGGTGAAGAAGGTGAAGAAGGTGAAGAAGGTGAAGAAGGTGAAGAAGGTGAAGAAGGTGAAGAAGGTGAAGAAGGTGAAGAAGGTGAAGAAGGTGAAGAAGGTGAAGAAGGTGAAGAAGGTGAAGAAGGTGAAGAAGGTGAAGAAGGTGAAGAAGGTGAAGAAGGTGAAGAAGGTGAAGAAGGTGAAGAAGGTGAAGAAGGTGAAGAAGGTGAAGAAGGTGAAGAAGGTGAAGAAGGTGAAGAAGGTGAAGAAGGTGAAGAAGGTGAAGAAGGTGAAGAAGGTGAAGAAGGTGAAGAAGGTGAAGAAGGTGAAGAAGGTGAAGAAGGTGAAGAAGGTGAAGAAGGTGAAGAAGGTGAAGAAGGTGAAGAAGGTGAAGAAGGTGAAGAAGGTGAAGAAGGTGAAGAAGGTGAAGAAGGTGAAGAAGGTAAAGAAGGTGAAGAAGGTGAAGAAGGTGAAGAAGGTGAAGAAGGTGAAGAAGGTGAAGAAGGTGAAGAAGGTGAAGAAGGTTTAAAAACTTGATGTAAATAATATCTGCAAGATTTAAGTTTGAGCTTCTATAAAAGCATTTTCTAGATAGACTTTGTTAAATCCACATTGTCAATTGCTTTATCACTGCACAACTAAGTATTTCCATGTTCTACAGGGTAATAATGAACGAAATAATTGTAATTTTACTTTTCGCAAATAATACATCCAAAAGTATTACTGGCTCCCCTACCAATACTATCCAACGAAACAACAATGGCATTTGCAGATGTGTAATTGAAACTCATAGTAGGAAACATAACAACAAAAGCGAAACTAGAATTTGCGCATGAGTAATAGAGATCATCAATAATGGGAAAGGTCCATTGTTCTTAATTTGAATTTAATTCTTTTTTTTTTTTTTTCAGAGCACGTGGTAACTACTTTTTGAACACTAATAGTGAATCACCTTTTGCAAAAAACTGATTAGAAATTATTATTAGTTTAGTTTAAAAATCAATAAATAATTAAACAAAATATGTTTTCTTCTTATTTACAATTTATCCAATTTCAATTTAAAATCTAATATTTATATATTAATAAACCGAATTACATATATATATTAATAAGGTAAGTTCACATTTTTGAAGAAAACTATAAACAGTAGTATATTGTGTATATTAAATTTTTAGATAAATAAATGGTATATAGATAATTAACGGTTTGAATATGTTTGAAGCCAGTATATAATCTTTTTTCTATTACTTTCTCTTTCTCCTGGGTCCTTGATGTGATACGTCTATTTTAAATAGCAGCGCCAAAATTTAGTCACAACTATCCGCAAGCACTTGGAATTGTCAGTTTTGTTTAAATAATTTGGGTGATTTTATATAACCAGGGCTAAGTTGTAAGTCTAAAAAGTACTACTCAATACTTTGTTTGCCCTAAAAACCACATTTGAAAAAGTTCCACGTCGTTTCAAATGTAAGTGAATAAAAAACAGGCAGTACAAATATATTGTAAAATATTATTAGTAATTTTTTATGCACGTTTCCGACGAACCCAAAAGCAATGAAAATTTGAATTCAAAAACTAGAAGAATTACGAACAGTTGCAGTTGCAAATAATTAACAAAAACACTAAAATATTTTGGAAACATTTTATAAATAATGCTTTTGTTATGAATTTAGCCGGGAAAGATGAATTTAAAGCTGAAAGCAATTTTTATTTTATTAAATTCTCAACTTGGTCCGTCTTCAAGTAAGTTATACAAGTAAGTAATATTATGTTATACCTAAAGATACCGGATAATAGATACGCCGTGTTTACATTGAATTTGTCTGCAACATTTTTTGGACAGTACGCTCTTCCTATGTTGTCAGATTTCTTCCATTAAATATCCTGCAATAAATTTTTATTAAAAATTTCAATTTTCCATTTATTATTATCTGTTAATTAATAAACTGAAAGCATACATATGAGTTTTTTATTAATTACATTCATTTAAGATTTGTATGTATCGTCTTCTACATGTGTATCGTATGTGGATTATTAAAAATACTGGTTCATAACCTTTAAATTTGGCAACCTAAGACATTTTGTTGACGGCGTCAAATGACAGCTGAATTTTAACTGTGCTTTTTTGTAGTTTTTTTTTATATTTTCTAGAATGATTTAAATTATATGGATAATCATTAATCATAGTTGAAATTGGTTTACATTATAACGAACCAACCAGAGCTAATACGAATTTTATATTGCATTTTCTCAAAATGTCATCAATCTTGGTTAAAATTGTGGTTTTATAAAATATATTTTGACCAATAAAAGTTGGTACATCCTGTGTATAAGTTTAATGGAGAAAACATGAATAACTTAAGAGTGGTAAGGACAAATATGAAAATATTAAATCTGCGTTCCTTACTTTTGACTCCCAATATCTCACCCTTCTTTTATTAAAACTTTAACCAAACTTCATTTAATAATTAGGTACTAACTGACTTTACTTATGATAATAATAATCTATTTTTTTGAATTAACTTTCTCCTTTCTTCGATCAGCTGACCTGAAATCTGAGAAAGAAGGATTCTTATTAGCTTGTCAGGATAGCGTAATTAACATTCTCGTATAACGCAGAGTTTACTCCTGTTCATCAACTAGCGCGAGTTAAATAATACAATAGTTAATCAAATGACGAAAAATTATTTTAAATAAAACAAAATATATATAAAAAAAGTAGCGAAAAGAAGGAAGGAAAGGGAGGAAAAAAAGGGAAGAGTTAATATTAACGAAAGAGAAATTATTAATAATCATTGAGACAACAAAATTTCCTTGTAGGATCTCTTAAATGATCCTAGAGATTTTTGAAGAAGTGTTGAGTCTACTTTAATTATTTTGTTATGTGTAGGAATCCGCAAGATAGTTTTTTTTTCTAATATTTAGATTATGGATATCCGTTCTGTATGTAAGTTTGTTATGTAGGTAAGAAGGCATATGAGTATTATATAACTGATGTAGTAAACATGCCATATGCAATTTTCGTCGGTTATACATTGTAAGCCATTTTGATTCTTTAAATTTATGAAAAATATGTTAATACTTGCGTATCCCAAAGATTAAACGAATACATGAATTCTGAAGTTTTTGAATTATTCAAGAGTCAATACTATCTAAACACGGCTAGGTAAACTACATCACAGTGATTACAGTAGGATAGTACCAATGCGTCGCACAGCATATTTTTTAAATCAAAAGATAAAAATTGTCTTTGAGAGTAAATCATTATTGGGTTACTTTAAGCATATTTTAATTTAGCCGTGATGTGCTTTTTAAATCGTAATTTTGTATGTACAACAAGACCTAGATTTTTAAATTGAGCAGTAATAGATATTGCAGCACCCCCTATTATTAGTTGCGCGGGGTCCAAAATATTTTCATTGCCAAATATTAGAGCGGATGATTTATTAGGATTAATTTTTAAACAATAAACTTTTGAAATACTAAGGATCTTTTCTAAATCTAAATTTATACGTTG